CGTGAAATAAAATAATTTTCAGAAAAAAAATACACCGACTTCGAAATGCACTAAAAAGTATAAAATAATTTCTATTTCCTAATGAAGTAATCTCTATTTCATTCAATCATACAATTACGTAACAGATATGAATGAAACCTATTTACTCGTTAGGTAGTATATTAAATACATTTCAAGTTTTTCGGAGACGGCGCAAAATTAAAAATACCTCAGTAAACATTCCTGCCAATAACCAGTTGATTGTGCTATGGCGTATTGGAAATTAATAAATCCTGAGAAAGAATACGTACCATTATAGATATATCTGGTAATATACGTGACGTAAATGTAACGACTGCATCTTCATTTTGCAACGTTTCTGATATAAATGAAATTGAATCGACTTCGGACTTCGTTCGCATGTGGAAGCCATGGATCTAAGAACCTATAAACGGAGCCCACGACGCGGGAATGACCAAATTTGCGGCAGATGGGCTCTATCTTTATAGTATTATATGCGATCGAGTCTTTCCATCGCATACTCTATGAATCTAGATAGACCATAGTTACATTCTATACGCACTAACACTTACTTCGCAGCGTGCTGTCGAGTTATATGTATAGAAAAAAAATAGCTATACAAGCTTTGCCTATGTTCGGCTGTCCAAAGGTTGACATATTCAAGAAAATCTTTTAATTTTGCGCCGCCTCCGAAAAGGTTGAAATGTATTTAATATACTACCTAACGAGTAAATAGGTTTCATTCATATCTGTTACGTAATTGTATGATTGAATGAAATAGAGATTACTTCATTAGGAAAAAGAAATTATTTTATACTTTTTAGTGCATTTCGAAGTCGGTGTATTTTTTTTCTGAAAATTATTTTATGTGCTGTTCTGCAGCAGAAATGTCTGTTCTATCAGGTACGATGATCACATTTTCAACTAGTCCCTTAATTTTTTAAATAAATTGAAAAATATCAACAAAAATAGGGGCGATTTTGGTGACTCCCTTGTCTTAATCATCATTGTAACATATTTAAATATTTATAATGTAATAACAATCTATATCGCTTTATTCGGAAAGGTTCAAAAATTTTTATCGCGTAAAAGGACACTGAATAACTGTTATAGGAAAAGCACAAGACATTTCTAAAGATTAAAATTTGCAATTTTGTTTAACATTAATTTCCTAAAAACCGTACGACCTAGGGGAAAACTGGTTTCAGATTCGTATTTAGCTCGCAAAATCATATCAGAATTTCATAGTGGCGGTTACGTAATCAACAAAAAGTCAAAATTTATTATAGTGTTATTGAAATAATATCGAAATTTATGCTAAATCTATTCTGGGTTATATAGCTGACATTTCGAGATAGCTGGCTGTTAAACGCCGGAAATTAGGAAATGAACAGTTCTATATTGTATATTAAGATAGAAATATTCTATTTCCATTTTGCTATTAGCGCAAATTTGCCATTTACCGCTAATCTTCAGAATAGGATATTAAGAAATAACTCGTATGACGTATATTAATATTTAAATAATATTAATAGAATTATTTCGTTATATACATCATTTTTTATTAACACATCATTGACCGGTAACAAGTATACTCAAACATAACCTAAACTTATGAAATTATTAAAATATAAAATTATGTAAATTGTTACTACAATATTAAGCTTTGTGAAAATAAAATCATCATGAATAAAACTATCAAACATTTTTCTAGATTTGAATACATCTTTTAACTTATATAGTCAATCAACAATATGTCAACAAAAAAATGATTTAATTATTTAATATCTTCTTTACACAGTATATAAATCTTTACCTTTATGTTATATGTATAAGTATATTATATTATGATATGTGGATTATAACGTTTGAAAGGAATGAGGATTTAGCCTCAACAACCTTGCATATAGTATTTAATAATTTTGATTTTATTATCACCGAAATTGGCTTTAAATTAGTTATATTGCAACAACCAAATTTAATAAATTGTACAAATGATCGTGATAAAAAATCGTGTTGATTGTAAAGTTATTAAAATATAACCTTCAAAATAATATTCATGTAAAATGAATTAACAGTATAATTAAAACAATAATTGTATAACTTTAGCAATATAATTAAAAATGTACCTTCAGTAATGTTTATATGTATACATACAAGATATATGTATGATAACTACTATTATTTTAAATACATATGTGTTAAGTGCTGTTATTTTAAATACAATACGATTAACTTTTTCTAAATATAACTGACTAAACATATAATCCTTTATAAGTATTATATTTTTAAAAAATAATATATTTAAATATATGTATATTCAGCAAAATTTAAAAGAAATTTCATAACAAATTATGTTGAGAATACTTGACATAAAAAATCGCGATTTTATTGCACAATGATCTATCCATTGAGTCTTAGAAATAGTAAAATGAGCTAGACCACCACAAATTAATTTCTGATTAATTACCTACAAAAGAAAAACTACTAATAGAATAAAGTAATCGGAGACGTAATTTGAGTAACTTCGCGTCCGTGCTTGATGTTATGTATAATAGCAAATGCAGCCCCTGGCCATCGAATTAGGACCATGTACAGTTGCGTGCCAATGTATCCGGCCAGTTACATTTTTCACTTTATAGTTCAGGAGCGATATTTACAGGAATTTTCATTAACATTTGATGAATTGGATGCAAAAGCGAAGGGAAATAATGCAGCAATATAATACTATCCGTTACACTGAATCTACTTATTTACATTATTGTTAAAGTAGTGTATTCAAAAGGTTCCGGCCACTTTCGTATATGATGTAAGGTACCAAATAACAACTGTAAAACATGGTGGAGGAAACGTCTGGGGCATCTTTTTTGCTCAAGGCGTCGATCCTCTCGTAGAAACTAAAGGAAATATGGACGATATAATGTAGCGGAATATTTTAAATAACAATCTGCTACAATACGCAGGAAGAAAAATGAGGGAAAATTAATGTTTTCAACACGATAACAATCCACACATCAAAGGTGGTGAAACAATGGTTATCTCCCAAAAATATAAGTTTTGACCTGGCCTGCTCAATCCCGGATATAAATCCAATTGAATATGTATGGGGAGAGCACGAACAACGAGTAAATAAATTTAAACATCGAAACAAGACAGAACTACTTGAAGCCTTAGAGAAGGAATGGAAAAATATTCCTTTAGATTTTATTTCGAAATTAATCGATTCCATGCCACGACAATTCTCCGCTAAAAAGGCATGGCTATTAAATATTAACAGTAACGTATAATAAAATCAACAGTAACTTTGTTATATTATAGGATATCTTTTGTAAAATTATGTGGCCGGAAACTTATGCACAGACTAGTTTAATAATTTTGTTAGTAAGCATAAAGATAACAATAAACGGTGTTTATTATTTGTATCATTTATTTTTTTTTTGTGACATCCTTCTATCTAATATTACAAGAAATTTTTTTAGATATCGCGTATAAAATACACAACGAAAAATGTAACTGGCCGGAAACTTTTGCACGCAACTGTACGATAATTTCACTTTTATGGCTATAACACTATGTAATATATGGAAAATTGTCTTACAGTATGCAAATTATTATTAAATTTGTTGATAACGATATACATGAATATAGCAACTAACTTGTTACTATCGTAATAATAATCTAATTGTGTGGGTGATGAACGATTAAGGGCCGTGGAAGTGCTTACGTTGAGTTCGAGTATTGAAAGCGTGTGAGGTCAAATTTGGTGAATGGAGCCTACTCAAAAGACTAGTTTACAACTCTTCAAGCACCATATTATCTGTGCTAAAAACAAGAATTGCAGATATTTCGGAAAATAATGAAGATATAAAAATACAAGGTAAAAGCAAAGGGTAGAAATACAAGATATTAACCTGTCTTAATAATGTTATCTACAGTAATAGTGTATCATGTTAGTAACTAATAATTTATATCATTACAATTTTAACAGGACTTTTAACTTTACGGAAAACGTGAAAAATGCTGAAAATTCGTAGTGGACCTAATTTTATGGCCAGGGACTGTATATGTAGATTCCTTAAAGAAATCATGAATTAAAAGAAATGGGCAGTATTCGTTAATTTTTGGTTGATAAATTCTCAAATGTTCAAATTTCCTAATTTGTAAATTTGTAAATTTCGAAATTGAAAAATTCGGAATTTTTAATATTTTTAAACGTTTAAAAATTACAAATTTTGAAAATTTGGGTTTTCGAAAAATTTGAAACTTAGGAAATGAAGCCGTTGAAAAGTTGAGAAAATTAGAAATATAGAAATTTATGAGTAAGACATTTAAGGATTTAGAAATTTCAAGTTTGAGAATTCAAATCAATTTAGCATATTTTAAATACGATGAACACGAATACAAGCGGAAATGAAATATAGCTAAATACTAGGATGCAAATGTCTCAGAAACTAACGGCTTTTATGTGACCAAGAATTCCTAGAATATTACACGTATGTAAATTAGTGGCGGCGGTACAATTTCCATGGTTAATTGTCATAATTGTTCTTAAATTACCACTGGCTTAATACAAACTGAAATATTTCTAATTAAAATATTTTACTCTCAACGTACAGTGATAGAAATAAACCAAATTTATATAGAAACGGCATTTCTATTACAAAAATTACGTTTTCCTATTTCATTTCTAGTTTAAATACTACATATTTAATATATTCAAGAATATGCGTTAATAAATTTTTAATCAAGAAGTTACTTATTGCAACTGGTAGGTATTTAATTAAATAAAAAGTTATTATAACGTTATAAAATATTAAGAGTGTTAAAAGTTAGTAATTTGATGCATAAAGAAATATACAGTTCTATTTAAAGAAATGTTAATGACCTTCATACGACCTGTATTCACTAATCTCCAAAAAAATTATTATTATTAAATTTTGTACTACAAGAAACGCCTTGTAGTTCAAAACAAATTATAATATCAAATAAAATATAGAAAATATATGTATATATATAAAGATTTATCCTTTGTCAATTTAATTAATCTATTAATGAAATAAGCGAAAAGTACTTAATGAACAAATTAAAAATATGTAAATAACTTTTAATTCAAAAATATGTAAACAACAAATTAGCTCATCGATCTAACAAGTTCCCTTGACTCCGCTGAATCACGTACACATCTCTTTCATTATCAAGTAGTCACAATGTTATTTTCCGTCCAGCCCCCATTCCACAATCTCTAAAATCAGCGTGCGTGTGAACAGTGGTTGTGCTAAATTTAGAAAGAATTTTATATAAATAGCCGGTACTCGTTGCAGAAATTTCTCAAAAACGTAAACAACATACCTGACTGTCATAAAATTTTAGAATTTGTGAGCAACGTCTCATCATTACAACATTAATTCGTGATGCGCGGCGACATCACCAATTCAATTTATCAATATAATTACATTTATGCTTTTCAGAATTCGAAAGAGGAAATAACACGCCGCTATATTCAATCTACGAAACGTTTCACGGAAGTGAAAATACTGAACGAACGTGAAAAAAATATCGAACGAGAAGATATATGATCAAAAGCCAAACAATGCTGTTCACAATTGCAATTTCTATCTACATACTAAATTCACTATGGATAACTTGTCAAGCAGTGCCCTTGATAGATCTAAGAAATACAATGGAACAAAACGTCCTGGATGCTATGATCACATCAGCATGTTCTTCGAATGGAGAGTGCTGGGAATGGCTACCAATACAAGAACTTCATGAAAATATTCCTACAGTACCAGAAAATCTACCTATATTAAAGTATTTATTTGTTATTGTTTCTTTGTACTAATATTTATGTTATAAGATCTTAACATAAAATAATGTTACTCTAAATTTCAGAACACTTGTCCGACGACAAACTCTAAATACAGATCCAAATACAATAATAGACTCATGGAATGATGGTGCTGCAACATTAGAGAAAAACAGTCAATCATATATAATTGCTAAACGAAATGGAAATAAATTTTCGAAGAAAGATGCACTTATGCCTCGCGGCTGGAGTGCTGGTGGTATGCCCTTTTCTGTTCTTTACATGAATCCATACGGCCCTCGTGGGAATCATGCCAGTAAGAAGATTAAATAATGACTAGTGCAAAAATTATTATATGTATAGTTGCATACATTTATGTCGTATATTTTGTTCAAGATACAGAGCAACAACATGAAATAGGGAAAACAGTTGAAACTTCAACACCATCATTGGCACAGTCTAATTCCCGCATTGCAATTCGTAATGGAAATCCTTCACTACCAAGAAGACAGTATTCGATAATACCGCAGCTTTTTATATCTTATGGATGGGGTTCATTCGGTAAATAAAGAGGATCTAGTATTTAATAAAATACTACAGTATAAATGGAATATTGATCTCAGAATATTGGTATACAAGGTCAACTGTAGAAATTTTGATTCGTGAATAGCTTTAAATAAGTATTTTGGCAGACTATGTACTTAAATGCAAGTTAATTTTACTGACATAAATTGTATTTTAAATTTTTTGTTAAACTATCTATAAATACTAAAGTTAAAATTTCTTTAAATTATTCAATGACTTTTTTGTATATATTTTTTAAATACTCTTTTTAACTTTTTTATTGTAGTCTATTAAAGAGTTACTTAATTTTTTTAACTAGATGTAGTCTTTTTTTTTAATTTTAATCCCACCTTAAAATTTATACACAGTGAAAGCCGTAGGTTATTTATTTTAAAACAAATCAAAAAGTTAATTAACGTTTTTATAATCTACAAAGCTTCATTCTTAAAATATAAATATTAAATGTTCAATTTCCGGTGTATCCAGTTTGAATCATGGATAACGAAGTGGGAAGCTGATTATGTTACTATGGATAACTGACTTACTCAAACAAACATGTATGTGTACGTATGTATGCATTACGATATCGGGTCAATATTTTGAACGTGAACAACTTTTCAATTCGTGTTAGCTACAGAAGCTACAGTTTTCACTATGTATGTATAACTTTTTTGAAACTCTGTAACTCCGTTTCATTAGAAACACGATAAAATAAATTTTAGTTTTTATAAGAAGTAAATATTACTTCTTCAAACTTGTCAATTATGTCAGAGAAAATTTTTATCAAAATGAAATATTTTACGTTATAATACATTAATTACTTTTTAACTTACCATTCATCTCTTTCATTGCTTTGATAAAATCTTGAGGGTCCTTAAATGAGACAAATCCAAATCCTTTCGTCTTGTTTGTCCTTTTATCTCTAACTACTTTTGCCTTTTGAAAACTCGGATATTTGCCGAAAACTCTTACCAGCATTTCATCTGTGACATCATTTCCTAAGTCTCCACAGAATATTCTGAAGTCATCTATATGCAAAAAAAAAATTGTAAGCTGTATTACAAAATAAAATAAAATTCACAAATAATGTAAATATGAATTTATTATTAACCTTCATCCCATTCTAACAAAGAAGGATCTTCCCAAATTTGTCCCCCAGCCATTCGCACAATTTTCTTATTTTTTTTGCCTTTGCCTTTCGGATGAGTTTCTTCTGCACTAGCATTAGCCATAATAGAACTAGCCTTTCCTTGACTAATTGCTAATTCTGCTGCTGTACTAACACCTTTTACCTTGGGCTTTTTTTTGCTGTCGTCTTCAGGAATTTTTGTATTGATAATCTGTTCAATAATTTCTGGATGAATCATTGGTGCTGATGTAGATTCATATGTTTTTGGAGTGGCAGTTAAACATGGATCCACCATATTTGGTAAGTATGGATTACTTATCTGTGCAGGTGATGAATATGTTGTAATAGAAGGAACCGTACCTGCATCAATTAATATTTTGATAAATATAATAAACATAATTTTTTATATTTCCAGATATTAAAGTACTTAACAATTATTTACCTTGTCTTGCTACTTGCTGTGGTATTAACATTGGTGGTGGTGGAGGTGGAGGTGGTGGTGGTGGTGGCGGAGGTGGGAATCCAATCATTGGGGGAAAAGCTAATGTGGCTGCAGCTGCAGCAACAACTGGTGTTGGAAGCTCATGTTGTTCTAATTGTCTAGCTACTTGATTATAAGTATTTGCACCAATTACAGGCCTTACCATTGGTGTAACTAACTGACTACCAATTTCGGCTTCAAACCTAAAAATTAGTTTAAATTTGCAGTTAATTAAAAATCACATATACTTTCCATAGATACATTTATTATTAAGTACATTATTTATACAGTTACCTGTATCTTAACTTGAAATAATTTATTTGCTTTATAACAAATGAGCCACTTAGTGCTATTTACCGTGCAAATTCTAAATAATACAATATTCTTAGAAACACAAGTAATATAATCAAACACATATTAAAAGAAAAATGTGCATAATGGAAATGTATTATAAAACTAAGAAAATCTGTATTATTTAAAAAAAATATGATCCCTATTTATATTTATAGAGCCCATATTAAGAAATTATTGATAACAATGTTGGTTCTATTGAAAAACAATGTATGTCCTATTGTAATTTTATGCAATAAAATTTGTATTTGGTACTTGAGAATATTATCGTGGCTATAAAAATATATCTATGTAAACAAATTAAACTTTGCTGCTATTTCAAATGTAAGGGTTATACATATATTGAATTGAATCTAATGAATTTTCTATATAAGTGTTTAAATACGAAATAAATAAAATTTAAAAAGTACAAAATGTATTTAAAATAATTAAAACTTATGTTACATATCACTTAAAATATCTATCCTGATGTAAGTGGATATTACGTTAATAACAAGTCAAAAACACGAAAAAATAAACATGAATATAATATTCTAAATTGTTGCCTAACATTTCCTAAAAAAGTTTGATTTTTATAAAACAATTAAACATTCTACATATTAGTCTTGTTTTTCATATGCAATATTTAATTTTCAGGATTTTATAATTCTTGCTTCCCACAAATGATATATTTAAAAAATACATGTTCTCCCTTTTTAAAAATTAAGTTGACTCAAATTTAATGATATAATAAAAAATAATTTCAAGCTTTAAGCTTTAAAGTAATATGGCATATGTGTTAATTTATAATAAACTTATGTTATGAAATTTGTGTTTCGAATTCTACCATTTGATACAAATAACTTAATGCATGTTCATATATTAAATAATATATGACTAAAGTAAATGATATTTATCATATCGAAATATTAACAGCATTAAGAGAATAGTGAACAGTTTTGAAACTAAAGTATTGTATCTTTAAGAAAAAATACAAAATAAAAGTTTTGAAAAAAAAGTCCATTTTTTTATAAATTAGTGTTCAAGGTATATTTTACAGACTATAAGCATATATCCTAAAACTCCAAACTGTGGTCGATTTTCTTAGTTCAATCATACCCATCATTAAAAGGAAACATTGACAAGAAAAGAAAATAGGTTAGAATTTCAACATTGTTTATAAATGGTCAATACCTGTTCATTTCATCTTCCATTTGACGCAATTTGTCGTCCATTTTGATATTTTTATTACTCTCAAGTTCTGTCAGTAATACAAATATATGATAATTAACAAATCTGTTATTCGCGGACAAAACTCCGAAACTTAATAACTAAGCACGAGTCCTCTGAAAATACTAACGCCATTCAGTATTACCAATATAGACACACGAAACACAACTATACCCGTGAAGACTTTTCATCAAATGGCAAAATTTAGTTCGTTCTGCGCATATTAACTCTGATTGGTCAAGTACGTTCTATCACCAAGAATAACACGCAAGCGCCCTTAGGTTGCTGACGTTGAATATTTATACTCGGTGATTTAAATTTCCAAATTTTAATTCTCGTAAATTTCAAAGTACAAACTTCGAACTTTCAAAATTTCCAAATTTAGAAATTTTAAAATTTCTAAGGTTTAAAAATTTTGTTCATATCCAAATTATTCTACCCCCAAATTCCACACTTTCAACATTTTTGCACTTATAATATTATCAATAATTTATTTATACTTTATCCTACTATTCATATATTTTCTCCACTGTATACATAACCAGAAAAACGGAAAACATACAGTAGTAGGATAAAATAAGGTGGTGGGGAATCACCTGAAATTAGTCACGATGCGCAAATTGAATGTGATCTTTCATTGATTAAAGTTTGTGTATTTTTTTGTACATAAACATTTTGATAAATTTAAAATACGTTTTATAACATTATTTGTATGTTAATAAAATTATACATAATTATATATGTATTTCGGAATGGTTAGTAAAAAACTGCATGAAAAGAATATTTTATTTTGCAGTTTACCAACCTGTCAATAATTATAGGTTCAACATAAACTTGCTAAGTATACAAAATGATTATGTACAAAAGTGTTATTTTTCTATTTTTTCTTATTGTCAATACATCAAATAAGTATGTAATTGCCGAGAACGATGAAGACACATCAACAGAACTATATGTTATCGAGGGAAAAGTATTTCCATGGGAAAATGGAGCTTCAAACGGATGGCAACTTATGACACACGTCATGGCTAACGGCGGAGAACATTATGGTTTTTTGAGGTAAATATACTTCATGCATCTTAAGTTACCAACAGTCAATTAAAGTAGTTATATACGAAAATACTATTGAGTTTTGTTTAAATATAAAAATTATACTAAATAATATTTTTATAGTTGCAGATAGGTTAAAATTGTTATTGACATTTTTAATATTTTTAGGGAGGATGGAACATTTATCATTTCAAATGTACCCTCAGGATCTTACATAATTGAAGTTGTAAATCCAAATTGTGTTTATGAACCTGTAAGAGTAGAAATTAACTCAAAAGGAAAATTCAGAGCCCGTAAAGTTAATTTAATTCAAACGTCGCAAGTGATACAAGTTCCATACCCATTAAAAATGAGACCACTAACACCATTTCGCTATTTTCAAGTCAGAGAACAGTGGAGAGTAACAGACTTCTTATTTAATCCAATGGTATGAAATTTGTTATATCATATTATTATTATTATTATTTTAGAAACATAATACGAAATAGAACCATATACCTATATTTCGATTTTTTCATTTTTACACAGGTATTGATGATGATACTACCATTCTTATTAATTATGATTATACCAAAAATTATGAATGATCCTGAAACTAGAAAGGTTAGTAAATAGGAATTGATCTTTTAACAAGTTAACTTGTCATGTGAGTAATTGGCATACAAAGTTTTATAGTGCATTTAATGGAAGATTCTTACTTTTAATTGTACTTATACTACTTGTTCAAATTATACTACAGAAAAAATATTTTTTATTACATGTGTAAAGAAGAAGTAATTATTTTCTGGTTGAATAATAACTTTGTTAAATGGTTAATGTATATTATACATATATACATATTCTCTAAATTTAATACAATACTGTTTTGTGTTTTATTGTTATAGGAAATGGAGCAATTAAATAATTTTACCAATTATAATATACCAGAAATGTCAGAAGTAATAACTGCATATTTTTCTGGAGGAGAGAAGCAAAAATCAAAAGCAGTAAAAGCTGCAAAAAAGAGACAATGATTTAAATGTCATTAGAGTACATGTTTGCACTTTTACTCTAGTCTTTTAGTTCTTAGCTACATTTTAGAAGGTATCAAATTTTTTTTCACTTTTAATAATTTTCCTGTAATTTTATATTTGAAAAAATAGCAGTGAATCATACAAAATATTGTTTTAATATATAATTAAATATAATATATAAAATTTTGTTACGTAACTTTTAACAAGTTATGTAATAGAAATATTTTATAAATTGCTATTGTAAAATAGTAAATTTTAAGCAATTAAAAAAATTATATACACTTTGGAACATGTTAATAAAAAATAATTTTTATGGTTTGTATACTAAGTATTAATTAAAATTCGAATTAAAATTGCACGTACATAAAATGAATGTAAAATACATAAATTAAATATAAATACAAAATCATTTGGTACTGTACGAATCAGTGCCTAACAAAACGTATTCGTAGTAAAATATGGTATAAACATATTAAAATTACATTTACACTAATGCCATTCCTGTAAACTTATATTTAATTTAAATATCTATTTGATGCAGTTATTAAGAATAATATATATTAAATGCTAATTCTTTAATTAAGAACAAAGGATAATTCGGGTTATAATTATTTACAATTATCTTAAAATAGTTTAAATAAACATATTTTTATATTATGTCTTGAATTATAAATTTAATAAGATATCCATTGTAAAATATAAAACAGTGCAATTCAAAAAATACGACTGCGTAGCTGAAAATAAACTACTTATAGTTATTAGTAAACACTTATGTACTGTTAAATATGTATTCTTATTTTATAAAATAGCTGTATAGTATAATCAATATAAAATAAAGTTTTGTTAAAATTTCGCAAATTAAATAGGGTTGAAATTATAAATAAATTTTTCATAAGAACAATTTCTTTGTGAACACTAGACTTTGGATGTTTATGCAATTATGTTTAAACAAAATATTTTCTTTCACGAAGTAATTTAACTCGCATATTTCATATTAATTGTAATTTACATATTTTGTATATTATGCACACTTTGAAATGTACTTTTACTGTTTTATATGTGTCATACAATTTATATATTTTTTGTGTCCTGATATATTGCAAATGCATAAATATCCAGTCTAACAACATACAACTTTATAAAATTTCTCTTTATTTTTTACTCTGTTAACAAATATATGAAGATGTCAAAATCTGTATAATCTGAAAATAATAAATTATTATTTATGTTTGATGAAGTATTGTTACGCATTTTTTATGTATGTGTTTTAATTTTTCAAGACGCGTGCATTATTAAATAATTATAACTAATAATAAAATGAATAAAAAGGTAAGAGAAAAGTTTGAAGAAAGTATGGTATTTCTATATCTGTATATTTATAATACAATTATGTTAAATATATAAATAAATTATTTACAAGTTAAAATATATCACAGTTTATTCTTTGTTTAGTTTAAGTAAAATCTATTACTGCTACTAATTTATTTACAGTTGAGTAATTACATATTTAAATTTTTAATTCGTAACATATGTTCTCTAGCTGCTTTAAACTGTTCAAAAATACTTTCTATATTGGTCATAAATTTATCTGTACTCAATCGTTGAAAATACTCTAACTGGTCATTATCTTTAGTAGGACTAGCTTGATGAACAATATTCATATTTAATTTTATATAACCACTTGGTGTAACAGTTAATTGTGACTTATTTAACATTTTACCTTCATGTCCTTGAGGAATGCTACAGTATGTTATATCTTCCAACTTCAAAGTTCCACCTGTAAAAAATCTTCTAAGAGTATTAATAATGCTTCCTGTTGGTCGCCACGTTGAAATATTAAATTCATATAAACCAGGTAATACAGGCAAAGATAAACTTGCATAGCCCTCTGTGCGGTACCTGAAATATTGTTTACTTTCAAATATTCTTTATTTTTTTGGTATTATTTTATTTAAAAAGTGGTATACATAATAAAGTCAATACCTGGACCAACTATCGAATGATGTAACTGATAACAATAATTTAGGCCAACATGGTACAGTATCTTTTGTTTCAAATATATCTGTTAACTGAGATTCTAACATCATCTCTGTAGCATAACTAAAATATGCAGAATTATTTTTTAAATTACACATCTGAGTCCTTCCGAATAATTTATCTTTTTGATCTATACTCCAATATTGTGGCAAATTTATATGGTAAGAAACAGAAAGTCCATTGAAGAAAAAATTATGAGCTGAGATGATGTCTAATTTTATAAAAAATTTATGCACATTGGATGATGTCAACTGTATGCCATGAGATATTTCTGCTTCTTTATGCATTAATCGATTTTTAATTTCCTATAACAAGTTATGTAAAAATTAGAATCATAATAACATTATCTTCAACAACTTCCTCTATTCAATAAAGCGTTAATTATGTATACTTTTTGCACAGATATTAAGTGAAGATTTTAAAAAACTAAGAAATGCTGTACAATATTTCATTATAATGATAATTTATATAATGTAATATGAAATGCATAATTTACAAAATTATATTTATTTTTATAATAAGATCAATTTTTTTTACGTAACAAACCGTTAAGCGACCCTATAAAATAACTGCATTATCATAATAGTCAGAAATCGTATGAAAATTTCTATATTACATGAGTTATTGCTACATACTCGACCAGTGTAAACAATACTAACGTGTAAGTACGTGTATATATACATATATGTATATTTGTGTAGATATACACACACATATTTCGACAGCCATGTATATGAAGTATTGAAACAGCCATTCATCGCTATAGAATTTCAGTCGGGCTTTGAAACCACACCGGGTAACATGCTTCATTGTTCTTTATTCGCGCAGTCGGTATTATTAGTAATTTGTAAAACCTTATAATAATTTACGTGCAATAAAATGATAAGCAATTCTCAACTAAATATGAATATGTATATGTTCCCTAAATGCATCTTAACAAAATGTAAAATAAAACAATCAAAATCAGTTTAGTGTGACAGTTCTTTAAGTATGAAAAGATTACTGGTGTAATTGACAAATTTTGGTTAAACTGAGGAAACATGTTTTATCCACAAAGAGTGATGAGACAAATCTCCGAAATCTCTTATGTAGGGTAAGTATACCTTACTATAATGTTTTAGTTTTCCAATATGTAAGTAATATTATAATAATATTGTAATATAAATTTCTAAATCTTACGATATACCGGTATTAAGCACAACGTTCAATAAAGAACGCAATATATTTTGTTTTCAAATGTATCTGGAAAGTATTTGAATCGTTTTGTTTTATTTAAAACATAAAATACATATATTCGAGCAGACAAACTGAATAAATTTGAAACCTACACAAACCGGTTTATAATGACAAATTCGAATATGTATATTTTGCATAAACTCACCCGTCGTAATTCATTTTGTTGTTGTTGCAATTCTAACGACGACTGTTTCTCGGAAGCATGCTCGATCCAATAATTAAATTTAACACCATTGGAATTTGTGATGGTGTAAAAATACTCGTTCGTGAAATCAGGATCAACTGACAAAATTTTATGCAACCCATCATACATTATGACACATAGTACCGTTTCCATATCTTCGTCAGAACTTGTTAAGGTTTTATCTCGTTGAGATAAATCAACCATGACATACATCGTAGTACGTTCCATATAAAGGTAATGGTTTGTTCGAATCCTTGTTTCGTTAGGTGTATCATCCACGACTATTTTATTGTACCTTTCGTGGAAAGGTTTACGATTTTGCAAGGCCGGCAATGCATTTTGATTTCTGATCGATAATTCTGTCTTGTACGGTTTGGTCAACAATTCGTTCTCCAAATAATAAGAATCATGTTGCGTGTAGGTGTACAATTGAGAACCTTGGATATCATTCTCTTTAATTTGTTGATAATATATTTTTTGTTGTTCGGTCAAACAATTGCTCTCGTCATTGTAAAAAGTAGCTTCAAACGGACTAAAGACTTTTTCTTGCCAGCTAAAAATACGATCCTCTTCTTCAAGAAAATTCGAGTCTCTGGTATCCCCTTCGTTTTCGAGGAGGTCTGCAAGCAAAGGCCTTTGCTGTACGATTTTGACTCTGTAACAATAAACAAGCGAAAGGAAAATACAATTTAGTAGGTAGAAACAATCTCTGCCAGATGGCTGGGATTTAATTCTATCAGCAGATCTGCCACGAGTTTAGCCGGCAAAACAGTAGTAGTTATTTCATTACTATTGTTTCAACGATTCAAGTTAATTATATAGTCGCTGACAGTTGATTAGCAACTGCTCTAACCAACGATTTTTTGTGAAAATATCTCTTTTTTTAAATCGTGCTTCTGCATTAAATAAATTGTACTAAATTATAAAATTAGTAAGAAAATTTTTAAGTAATTTTCGTATCAATTACATAAAAATAAGTTAACTTTTTATTTACAAAAATGAGAATTAAACTTACAAGAAAACATATCGAACCGCGACACACCGATTTTAATAAAACGTATGTAGGCTTTTATGGCCAATACTGCTTTTATACCTGTACAGGCGTAAAGTCTTCAATCTAAATAAAATATTTAGAACTTTTGGAAATATTGGGATTTTTTAAGAAACTAAGAAAATAGAATTAAATTAAATTATTTTTTAACAATATTGGCCATAAAAGCCTATGTTCCTTACGGCGCGGCGTTGATCATAACCGCGTCACGCTCATACCTCCAAGGCTTACAATAATTATTCAGAAATCAAGTAACGGCATATGAAGAGGTATAAAATGTCTAAAATATTGTTAATTTTTGTAAAAATAATGATATTTTTAATAAAAATGCTGATTGCCCCTCTTCATAGGAGGTGATTTTAAATTATATATCTAATAAACATTGCAAAAAACAACAAATTCCAAAAACACGTATCCTCTATTTTTGTCCATAGTTTACGTAGACGAAGTTGCAAAAAAATAGATCAACATTTAGTGCAAAAATTTAAACAAAAATTATAAATTTTCAAAATATTATTTAAACAAATAAAGTTTATTGAAATTTTTTTACGCACAAAAATTTCCTATTTAAAGACGAACAATTTACAAAAAAAGAATCCAATTATCTTCTTTAATTCCGGAGATATTCCCAAAAATATGATTCCAACCCCCAACTTCGAGGGCTATTTTCACCTCTTCAATGTGAACGATGGCCGATAAAAAAAAATACGTGTCAAATATTTTCTTGAGAACTATCTTTCACATAAGTTTCATTAAAATCGGTGTATCGCGGTTCGATATGTTTTCTTGTTAGTAATAAAATCATCGGATAATTGATTGATTACGTTTGTTAAATCCTGGTACAGATTACTAACTTTTATGATATATTTTTTACAGTATTAGTTTCCAACTTCCGAGTCGCGAAATGTTTTCTGGGGAATGGATGCGGTTGTGTTTGGTGAACGTGGTTGGCTTCATTAACGGAAATTAAGACGTAGGGGAAAGAAGTCATATTACTCGTTGATATTTAAGCAGTAAATTTTTAAGTTCAATATTTTAGAAATTTGAAAATGCAATTTAAAAATTTAAAAATTTCAGTATTTAAGAATTTGAAAATTGTATTCATTATTTATTATGTTCAATTATTATTGTTCATTATGTACATTGATATATTACGTTACGGTACTGGTGAATTTTGTGCATTTGTTCTATATATTCTAATCATAATTTTTAATCATTTTTTACAATGTCTGTTATAATGTCTATATTTATAGTGTATTTGTTTCTCTCTTACTATAACGCTGATTTATAACGAATTATTATAAAACATTGTAATCACATATATTACATTTGGGAAATTACAGAGAGATCTTGTATAAACAATACTTAAAGGATGTTATTACACTATTCGTTCAGAACGTATATTATTCCTTTACATATATTATTAATTTTTGTGTTGATTAAATAAATTCTGTGTTACATGAATCCTTTAAAGATCAAAATAAATAAATAGCATGTACATTGAAAATAATATCACAAAAATGCACACCCTTTTGCAATATACATTTCTATCAACAATTAAAATATTTAATATGGAAAATGCAAAAATCTACCATGTATCTTACTTGTTTTTCTCTTGTGGCGTAATTAAATCTAAATGTAAATGTTTTAACTAATTAATGAACAAGCATTATGTTTATTGCTACTCTGTTGTAAATAATTGTAAATTTGTATTATGCATTTGCATTATAATGCAATATAGATATTATACATAAAGCTCATACGATTAGATACGGTTGAAGTGGGCGATATAAATAATTTTGGCAATTATTTACAAAGTGTCCGCTCCATGATTGCAATGACCTTGCAATATTCTTTCAAGGACGTGATTATAAGTAATAATTTTCCTTATACGCTACGCAGTTTCAATTTCAGATATATTTGCAAAAATGACAATGAAATTTGCACTTTGTTGAAATATTCTGCTATTATAGTCGTATAATGTCGGTCTATTTTTGTTTAAAAAATATCTACCATATAATATACTCCAGTAAAGTATATTTCAACGTAGCATTTCATATTCTCAAATTACCAAATTATCAGATTATCTAGATCAGTAAATTACCAAATTATCAAATTACCTAGATTAGCAAATTATCAAATCATAAAATCAAATTACCAAATTACCAAATTACCAAATTACAAAATTACCGAATTATTAAATACCTAAATTTCTAAATTCCAAAATTTCTTAATTCCTAAATTCTCAGATTTCCAAATCTTCAAATCTCTAAATCTCCAAATTACCAAATTACCAAATTACCAAATTTCCAAATTGTCAAATTATCAAATTCTTTAGTTTCCAGGCTCCCAAAATTGAATTTCTTAATTTTCTAAATCTACTAAAATTCCAAATTCCCACATTCCTAAATGTTGAAATTCGGAATTTTCATTTCCCCGAAAACTCTCGTTTCTAAATTTCTGCGTTTTGAAATCGGAAATTTTTAAGTTCTCAAATCTTCAAATTGTTTAACATCAGCCTGAAAAGAAATTGGTTCCGACGACCTGTTAACTGCTCGTAGTAACCTGCATCAATCATGTTAGGGAAATCCCAAGCAACTTTCCAACAGGTTTGGAGTTCCCCATGAGTTCACTTACAATCTTAAATTACACAATAGTCTCAGGACTTTTTTATTTTTTTAATCTCCAATGTAGTAAGTATTCTTTTAATCTTCATAATATTAAAAAATGCATTTTAATTAAAGTAACTATGCATACCGATATTATTCTCATTCGCATTTTATCCAAAATGAAGACTTAAATAGCAAGTAAAATTAGAGTAGAACTCTCTACTTTAACTGAATTGAATTGATGAATCATTCATAATGAAAAGACACTCACTAGTATATATTAAATCGCACGAAATGAATATGATTTAGCTGATTTTACTTTGTGTATAATACTTCATTAAGAACTTTAATTACAAATAAGAGAATGGAATACAAAAATAAAATGTATTCTTTAAGAAAGGAAAATGGAACTCTGTTTCAAAATCTACCGAATCGATTTAATAGACGCAGATAATGTTAATGAATTCGACCAGTGGACTGGTATAAATACTCCAGCTTTCATCTTCCACATTCATTGTGAATGAATCATCCGCAGTGATCATTCAAAGTGAAAAGATGTAAATTCAGATTGAAAATTCGTGCTGATTAAGAAATTTCGAATTGTTTGTACTACTTTGTCAAACAGTATAGTAAAAATATGGATTTTTAAGAAATTATTGACGAATTTTATTTTCAGTACACAAATTATTAATATTATAATTATTTCAATTTTTTTTGAATATTATTGAAATGTTCATTGAAATAAAATCCTAATCATTTCATATTCTTAAATTTTTAATAATTAAAATAATTTATTTGAACTAAAATATTGATATTGGAAACTTAAATTAAAGTTTTTCCAATATTAAAAGAATACGCATAAGTATTGATTTATCGTTTTTATTTTTTTTAAATTAAAAAAATTTGTTGTTTTTTTTTTTTAATTAACCAGTTTTTTTAGTTTTAAGTTTTATTTAAGTTTTTTTTATTAAATTCCAAGGTACGAAAATTTTATTTTAATTTTAAGTATTACAAAACATAACAGACAAAACGCTTTTTAACAAAAAAATGTTGCTGACATTACAAAAGATCATGTAATTAATAGTTTAATTCAAATTAACAGGACAATACTTCTATTCATCACAATGCAAATATACAATAAGGATCACAGTACCCAAATTTTAAAATGGCCGACACATACACTGATATAAATATCATTGAAAATGTATGGAAACTACTAATGAATTGAATTTCTAAAAAGAATCCAAAATATTTGACAGTTCAATAATTTAATAATTATGAAAGTTATTAAATTATGACAGTGTGGAAATAAAGTGATTCAACTGTAATGTAATACTTTGAGCTTAATAAATAATTTTTTGTTAAGTTAACCTATACTTCTATCCAACCTACGAATACTATCTTCTGTAAAATGAGCCATAATTCATTATGCATGTAAAAATTGCGAAATCTATTCTCATAGTATCGTGTTCCTTGCATTCTTACATGACTCGACAAAAGGTAAAAATATCTCCATAATAGTGAGCTAGCTAAAAATGAAAGGATCTTATAATTTTGACTAGCAGAGTACGTTTTCATTTATCGACCAAGTTATAGTCCAGTCATTTTACAATATAGTGAAAATATAGAATATTTAAAAATAATACACAATTCATATTTGTTCAAAGTAATCGATATTTACCTTAGCGTAAAGATCCTAATTGATTATACCTGATCGTGATAACGGTAAAGTATTCTGCTCTGTTCCATTGTTTGTACCGTAAAAAGGTTGATAAACGGAAACATAAATGTGCGTATCTCGTAAATAAAATAGATTAACACGCAGACGATATTTACGACTGATTATTTATTAATTTTTACATTTCTTTCATAAAATTGTGCAATAATCGATATTTTCAACATTTAAATTTGCTCAACTCATTGATAAATATGATTTGTCAACTTTTAACTACATAAACCCTTCGTTAATATTCTTAACATAAAATGGCCGGTCACCAATTAATGAAAACAATGATCGATTTCAAAAGATGGAGTCTGACGCAAATTAATGTCTCAAAATAACACTTACGTCATACCAATTTGAAGCTTAAATAAAAATAAATTTGATGAAAAAGATTACATAATCTGTTCATTAATATTTGTTAAAGAACCATCAGGTGTTCATAAACACTTGCTATTTGTTAAAGAACCATTTTACCTGAAACATGGAAAATCTGACAGAATTAGATAACATAAAAGTATCGTGAAATAATACATATGTTATACTAATTTGAAGCTTAAAGTTCAGTGAACATGCCCGAATAAACGTTATATTTAATATTTTGAGCATAAAATAGCCGATTGTCAATTATAGTAAACAGCGATCGATTTTAGAATTTAATAAAATTATCGCGATACATTGAAAATGTTCATACAAACTTCTTATTTATATTGATTGTTAGATAAATATCTTGCTTTGTTTTTTACAGAGTAATCGACGAGACGATTTTTGAGGAATTAATTATTATCAGTTATATTTATAAATAATAATTAAGTAAATAGATATTCTGTTAAATTGTTCTCATTAAATGAAATAAGTAATTGAAACATTTGTTCGCATTGTCAATAATTAGAAAAATAATAAAAGTCCAGGAAAATGTTATCTCACTTTTCTTTCGTTACCTTAATTTAAAATTATTGATTGGTTCTTTCACTTTGTAGTTGGCAGCTATTTTTTTCTTTTGTATTTTATTTGACATGTTGGTTCAAACATTTGTTAGGAACGAACATTCACGTTTAGGTTTAAAAGACAAACTGAAAGGCAACCGTCGGTAACTGTATGCGAATGCATTGTTTATCGATTTTCCTGTTGCTTAGTAACTAGTATACACACAAATGAGCAAAACTGCACATAAGTATCGGAAATGTTTATTCGAATATGATAGGAAAACGTATCTACGTTTTTGATTGGACACTATAGTGATCGAATCAGAAGAAAGACAAGAAGAGATTATTTAATTAAAAGAAGAGGGCAGTAGTGATCTCAGATGGCGGTAAAATTCAAATCTACAGGATATTCATAGGTATCCTATAAAATTTTATGTTTCTCTTTGCACCTACAAAATTTTAATAACAATATTATGTTTCAGAGTTTAACGTACTTTGCAAAATAACTGATCTTTAAATTATAATTGATATTTGGAATAAATAAAAAGTAGGGTATACTAGCATAAAATATTAAGTATCATTGTTAAAGAATTTTTATAGTGCATTTCCAGAAAAATGAAGCGATATTTTCAAATTTTTTTCTTGGAAGAAAAACAGTAAATCTAAAAACATCGAGCACTTCTAATCAATGTTGGGGAATAAAAAAATAATTATTTTCTGTGAATTAGAAAATTAAAAAAATTGTGCAAATACCAGCTTAGTTTTAACTGTAAAAAAAGTTTACAATTTCATATATTGCTTCAAAATGTATGAAAGGCAAAATATCATACAGCTAATCAGATAAGGATTGAAACATAATCGTGAGATCCGCATATCCTGTTGAGTCAGCTTCTTAAGATATCCTTATATGCAATAAAAACAGCAGTAAATGTACAAAAATTAAAAGCATATATGAGTATAAATTTTTAATCAGACAAAAAATATTGAATTTTATTATTTGACGTAATATATTTGCGAATTATTTCTGCAAAATTGGCTACAAATATTTTTATAGTAAGTTGCGAGAGCGGATTCAAAACTTTTGCTTGAGAGGGGATATGTTAAAATATGTAAATATATATTCTACCTTCTACTAGTGACATTTAATTTTGTGATGCACACAATTTATTTCAATTGAATAATTTTGTGAAAAGGTTATACTGGGCGAGAGATTTTTAAAGAAAATTTTTGAAATATATTGTTGTATCACATTTTTAAGCATAATTTACTTTGCTTGAGATTTAGAAATTTAAAAATTTAGGAATTTAGGAATTTAGGAATTTAGGAATATAGGAATTTTAGGAATTTAGGAATTTAGGAATTTAGTAATTTAGGAATTGAGGAATTTGGGAATTTGGGAATTTGGAAATTTAGAAATTTAGAAATTTGGAAATTTGGAAATTTGGAAAATTGGAAAATTGGAAAATTGGAAAATTGGAAATTTAGAAGTTTGGAAGTTTGGAAGTTTGGAAATTTGGAAATTTGGAAATTTGGAAGTTTGGCAATTTGTAAAGTTGTAAATTTGGAAATTTGTAAAGTTGTAAATTTGGGAATTTGGAAATTTGGAAATACCAAATTTCTAAATATAAAATACAAAAATTTTAAATTGTTTCATTCAATAAGAAACTGGAAAACTCTATTGATGATTCCGATTATTATAACAGAGTTAATAATTATAATTCCCTAATATAAAGCTTTCACAAAATTCTTATTAAATTAAAATAAATTGACAATCATTTAAAGTCAGTTATAATTTAGATCACCATTAAATATATATATGTATATACGTGATACTTTGTTTTAAAGCAGTGACGAGTGATGGGAGATTTCATTGATAAGTAGTTAGATATCTAATGCAAACACGTGACTGTTGGTGATTTTAGTAAAAAGCTTTGATGAATCACTAAAAAGAGATTCTTGTTACCGTTACAAGTTATTTAAGAAATTCCAGATTATTATCATATTTCCTTCTGATAACGAGAAAGATTCCTTTGTAATTACTTAAGATTAATTAGTCATAATGCAAATGGAATAATCACACGGCTCATTCTACAGTTCCATATAACTCCAATTCTTCCGAGTCTTATACGGTGATTGCAAATCTAAAAACCATGCTCCTCTATCACTTTCAATTTTTAAGAATAGTGATTCTAAAGTACATTCATTTTTTCACATTTCAACAAATTTTGTGACACTACAGGTAGTGTTTTTAAGCCAAATTTTCGATATCCTTATTTTATTGAAATGCTACTTCTGAAGAAGTTTAAAGAACTTCTGAACAAGTTTAAAGAAAAACATGAAAAATATTAATTGATAAAATAATAATAACCATGTAAAATAAATTATTTATTGTTATATACATAATTACATCAGAAATAAGTAAAAAATGAAAATATTTCTAATCAATTTCTGAATGGAAGCTATTGACTTGAAGTTGTGTTTTAGGGATTTTTAATTTTAAGAATTTAAGCAATTTGGATATTTGAAAATGGGATTCGAGAATTTAGGGATTTAGGATTTGACAATTTAAGAATTTAGGAATTTCAACTTCAAAAATTTATAAGTTTGAAAATTAAAAAATTTGATATTTTGATAATTAGGTAATAATATAAAAATTTGGAAACTTCAAAACTTGCAAGTATAGAAATTTGGAAGTAAAAATTATTAGAATTTAATTCTTAATTCGAATTTGAACAATTTTAGAATCTGAGTTTTCAAATTTCCGAAAATTGATGAGATTCCATGGGAGGTTCCACTCCTCCAGTTGTGCTGATCAAGAAACCTACATTGCACGAGGGTGTACATGTTAAATGTAATTTAAAATGCTTTTTTTATATTTTAAAGATAATATCTTTCAACTAGTGTTTAAATATTATTACTATTTTTGTTTACATTCAGCTGCATTTTTACAAAATTTCATGATAAAATGTGATTATGATACAGCCACTTTAAAGATTCGATTTCCGGTACATCGATTATATACAAATTATTAAAAAGAAGTTAATTCATTCACGAAAAGGTTAAAATTATTCATAAACGGAAAATAAATGTGATTAACAAATGGTAAAAGACTACGTTGACAATCGGTAAAAGAATGATTACAACAGTCTACCATATACCGCAACATCTTGCGGTACTTTCTATTTGTACGATACTTGGCCGTCGAGTTCACCTGTTGCGACGCTGGCGTCTTAAGCGTGCAGCATTTTCAAACATATCCTGTTCTACCTGATGATACAATCGTTTGTATCCTGGTTTAATGATAGTATAGTAATGGAAGATTTTCTTCGAAGATAAACAAGTGATTGTATAGATTCGGATTTCCGTCAAGTGTTCAGGTATAATATCTGTAATATTTATTGATAAATGCTGTATAAATAAATGAGGTATGTTTATATACAATGTACAACAATCAGATTTAACGCACATTACTGATTGAATATGTCATCAATGCTACCTAAGTTATCACTATCAATTTCCTAATAGTACATTGATTTGATAAGATAAGGTAGGCGTAGACTATTGAAAGGATAATGTTCAGTGAAAATGACTAATTTATTGATGATATCTTGTCGACGAAGCAGCTTCGAAAACTGGATAAGTGATTGTATGTGTGTTCAGTATACGGATAGGCGTTACTCCGATCATTTACGCATTTGATGTCTAATTTATTGGTTTTTAAGTAAAGATATAGAATATAACAATTTAAATGTAAATAAATATTTATATTTATCTGTTTTTTATGTAAATAAAACTTCTTTGTATTTAATGTTTATAATTATGTGTCTTTGAAAAGCATATTTAAATTTAACTTGATTTGTGGGAAAACATTGAAATTTATAAATAGTGGTGAAAATGTATAATCTAACATTTAATAGTAATAGCTGTAGTGAATGTCAAGTTATATTCTGTTATATTTTATAGAGGTTTCAAACTAGTAAGGATGACGACTACTCAGGATGGAGAATCTGGTATAACAATACCATTACAATATAATAATTCTGTAAGCATTAATTTTTATAAATTTTGTATATGTTTTGCATTATATAACCTTCATAACAACTATACATGTATGTATTAGAAATAAAAGATTTGTTTGTTTATACATTATAATAACTAATTCTTTCAGCATTGGAAGTCTATATTTGAAAAATATGATCTGGACGGAGATGGAAAAATTTCATATCAAGAATTGAGAGCTATGATACGAAGTTCTGCTTATTCTAATGATATCCCGACCAGAGTTGTTCATCTAATCATGCGTAAGGCAGATTTGGATGACTCAGGATACTTAGACTATCCAGAATTTATAGCCATGGTATCCTTATTTTTGTTTCTTTTAATTTATCATAATATTATTGCCATTTTAAATTATATTTTTATTATTTAGTATTTAGTTCTTTTTAACAATTTTATAATTAAAATTTATGTAACAGTTAGTGTGCTATGTTTTTTAAGATTAATCACCATTTTTATATTTGTTAAATTAAAATAATTCTCTCAATGTGTATTTAATGAAAAATGTAAATAGGATTTAGTTTTGCAACTATAATAATACAGTTCTTTTGTGCAAATATACGTAATATATAATTATTCGTTTTTAGATTCACAGGAAAGACATGCAAGGTGTTTTTGGTCATCTTGTACAACGATATGTGCAATCGATGGTACCACAGAGACCTAGTTCTCTACAGTTGACACGTTCCAGTGATTATCCTGATGGACAATACGAAGAAGAATATACCTGTAAACCTCCAGCACTAGCCATGATAATTATATCGATGCTAGAAATTATTTTATTTTTGTATGATGTGATTGTATACAAAACGCCTTCTGTGGAGGGACCAGCAGCTACATTATTTATTTATAATCCACATAAGAGGTATCAAGCATGGAGGTATCTGACGTACATGTTTGTACATGTAGGGTATGTATTTTATTTTACATTATTGTTAAATATTATTTTTATACGATAAATTAATAAAAGATTTTTTTTTAACAGAGTATTTCATCTAGTAGTAAACTTACTTGTACAAATAATGTTGGGTATTCCATTAGAAATGGTGCATAAATGGTGGAGAGTATTAATCATATACATAGCTGGAGTAGTTGCAGGATCTCTTGGTACATCGGTGTCTGATCCAGTAGTGTATTTGGCAGGTGCATCAGGTGGTGTATATGCATTAATTACTGCTCATGTTGCAACTATTTTAATGAACTGGTCGCAAATGGAGTTTGCTGTTTTGCAATTATTAGTATTCCTTGTTGTGACGTCTGTAGACATTGGTCAAGCAATATATAATCGCTATGTATTAGAAACCAATGACCAAGTTGGATATGTCGCTCATTTTGCTGGTGCTATCGCAGGCCTACTTGTAGGCATAAATGTACTTCGCAATCTTGAAGTGAAAACATGGGAAAAGGTTGTATGGTGGGCCAGTATTATTACTTACACGGTACTTATGACAGCTGCTATTTTGTGGAATATTTTATACACTTCTTATTATCAGTAGTTGTTAGTAGTATTAACCTACATGTATTTATTTTTTGTGTTTTGTTTTCTACTGTAAATAGAATTTATGACCTTGCCTTTAATTAGAGATAGACAGAAATTTTTCATAAAAGTAACCGAATAAATATGATAGATTAAGGTTATTACATATTTGAATCGACAAATTACATATTTTTTTAAATATATATACAACTGCATTTTATAAGCACAATTATCTGAAACAATTAGATATCTGTGATACAAAATGCCTTTACATTAAATGAAAGAGACGACTGCTAACAGTAACAGTGATAAATTGTAACATCTCGATAATGTATACTATTCATTATATAAAAATAATATATGATATTTTTTTTATTGTATTTTCTCTAGAAATACAATAGCATGGATTATTTTATTAATAATGATTATTTCAGAATAAGTACATTAACAATATGCAAAATTAAGTAATTATTTATTAATTGTAATTATTAATAAATAATTACTTAACAATTATATACTATATGAATAGACAGTTAGAAGAGTTATAGAATGAAATATGTTTATAAAAAACATCTAAAATTTGAAGAAATTGATCAAAATTATATTATATAAATTATTCTTATTATTACTTTGTTGATGCCGTAAACATATTAACATCAGTATACATATTTGAATAATATTTTATTACTTATAGTATTTAGTTCCCAAGAAATAATTTTTACTACTATGGTAAATTATAAGTATTATTCATACGAAAAGAATTATCAAGAACTTTTATGTAATAAGTTACTGCATTTCATTGTATCATGTATTTATAATTCACGATGTCATGTACCTGATTTGTAAACTACTAATGAATTACAAAAATAATTTGATTATACACATAAGGCACATTAAACTAAAAATACAATGTTTCGACAAGAAAATGAAACAAAAAACAATTTGAGAAATACTTTATATTGATTAATTATAATACAATTAATCAATTGTTTATCAATATAAAATTAAATATTTCAATACTATTTTTCACGTGGATTTAAAAAAGAAATTAGATAATTAATAATCAAATGTGCCTTCAAGTTTAATAGTATACGTAAATATTAAAGAGGTATGGTATTTTAATATTAAATTTCAGAAAAATTGTATTTAAAAATCAATTTAGAAGTAATTTCAATTTTATTTAAAAAATATAAATTATCAGTATAACTAATTTAAAAAGATAATATGTACATAATGTGTTGTATTATGTGCAACTTTCAAAAGTTAAAAATGTTTAAAACATATTACAGAATTTTTTATTACAAATATGTAATTATTTTGAAATATAGCAGTTAAATGCAGAAATATTAATATAACTAAAATATGTATATTTGAAATAATAGAGTTAATTTTACTATTAATTGTTATTTATGTTTATCACATACAGTAAAAGAACTTTGACTTTTTATTTTTTATTGTAATATGTTTTATTCCTATGATTTGTATTGATTATAAAAATTTCTTCTAGTAAATTTCATGAATATGCATAAAATAAAAATACAACTACAACAATGCAATATCAACCATAAATGATAATATAATCTCTCTATACATAAATAAGCCAACAATTATAAGTTACTTTAGTTAATATAATCAAAGGAAAAAAAACGAATATTGATATGAATTGAAACGAAAGAGCTTTCTGAGCCTTCTCAGCTTGTTCCTTCCTTTTACAGATGTTGTCCTTTTGTACACTGTAATGTTAAAACTTAGAATCAAACAATAGCAAAAAATAATACTGTAGGTTCCTTGTTGCACCATATTGTGTGCGTTGTGTGTTTTTATAATGTTGAAGAAATTCTGAAGTACGTTTTAAAACAAAAAATGTTTTTTAAAATATTAAAATGAACTGCTAGTTTAAGAACTATCGTAAAAGACGAACATTGAAGCGAATATATTGCTTCACGAAAATGTTACATACTAGACATAATGAGACGATCTCAAGAGACAGGGTTGTTTGTGCATAAAAAAAGAGTTATAATTATAAACGAACCGTGTTGAACAACAAGAAACTGAATAAAGAACCTCATTTAATGAATTATATTTGTTACTGGTATTTATATGATTTTTCGCATCTAAATGCTTTTTATGTATTATCTCGCGTAACTTTTGTAATAAATATGGAATATTAAATAAAGAAAGGAAATGAAAATATATGTAAATGTTTGTAAATGTACAAGTATTAATTAAGCCATTTATTTGCCAAGGTGATTAACTCAAAATAAAACTACCATTTACTTCCATTTTTTTTATGTTTTACATTTAATTAAGCGTATTGACACTAAAAACAAAAAACATAAAAAAATTAGAGTTAATCATTTTGGCTTGTGAGCAGCTCAATTAACGTATAAGATGTATAATTGTGGATATACAGCATCGCTCGTAATTATTTGAACAAGTTCACTGAAAAACATTAAGAATATTATTTTTACTGCGAAATGTATGTTTTATTCGTTTGTACTATTTAGTATTACAAAATTTGTATCTTGAACAATAAACAATACTACAATAACTTATAAATAATGACTTAAGCAGAAAATTAGCAGTAAAAATTTTATATTATGGGAAATGATAAAAAAATGTATCATCGATGTTTTTAAAAAGAATTACATTCAAGTACTTTTCAATAAAACAGGCCGAATTAAAATAAACTTTTGAATTAATTGAAAAAGATAAATAAACATTTGAATAAATTTTGAACTGATTTTTAATTAATATATCTTTTTTATATTTACAGAAATTACATTCCATATTGCATTACGTTCTTTCAAATACATATTTAATTAGACATAGTTCAAAATTTACGATTTAAAAAATCAATGTGTTGATTCTCATTGATTCAAGTAAAATTGTTAATTGTATAAAGTAAAAATACGTTATCGTTCACACAATTGCGAGCAATGTCGTATAGATTTGACTTAAAGTAATTATTAACTGGATGCAAGGACATAAACATTCATATTATTTGTATATTTTGTCCGCGTTTTTCCTATACGTATAAAACAGAATAAAGAAAAATTTGAATCGATGTTCGATTGTAACGGATACAATATCGTGAACAGGCAGTAAAATGTGGTAAAACGACCGTAACTAAATTTTACCTAGTACCATATCATCAACAGGTACATCATATCGTAGGTTTAGCTTCAGTCAAGTGTTACGAAATATATTAGTACAAAAAAAGGGAAATGTTAAATTGAATTTAATCTTTAAAGTACAGAGCCTATTTTTGAAACATAAATAACGGAATCGGGTCATTGAAGACTTCTATTTTAAAATAGTTTTTCAATATTCTGGTATTTTAATATCGTGTAGAGTTATAACTATATTGAAGTATACAATGTTTTTTTATGAAAACAAATAACGGGCCCTAAAATTCCGTTTTCCGTACTCTAAAGATTAAACCGTAAATCAGATCAATATTAAGATCAATTTCTATCCCCAAAACTCAGTTAACACACTTTCCGTGCCATGTGAGTCACCGGTGACTCATGAAATTGATTAGAGGCACATTCGTTATTTTAATACTGAACCGCTGCGAAATTCCCTATAATCGAACATTTGCGGCACAAGTAAGAAATTTGAATTGTTATTTCTTAGAAACTTGAAACTTCATCCGGCACTGAATGTGTTGAAAATACGATGTATGTGTATGTACGCTCTGTGTATCGGCTCTCGAAAGGCAAAGAAATATAAGAGAAAAGACATTAATGTAGAGTCAAGAATCAGAAGCAAAGGCGTGCTCGTTATTATAACGGAGGTGATTTTTATTTCAACAAAAATAACAATTTACATTGAACTGTTTTGATAATAATATTATCGTGTATGCTACACCTGTAGTTTACTGTAGGCGTGGTATGCTCTCGCTCGCTATTAATTGTAGTTAATTTTATTTGAATTAATCGCATTAATAGCGGGTTCTCGTAGGTAATATCGCTTCTTAGCCTTTTTTCTTTTAATTATTATTATTATTAATAATATTATTATTATTATTATATTTCACTTATTCTTTTCTTTTTTCCTTTTTTTCCCTTTTTTAAATCCTGTTTCATTTTTTTTTGTCACCTTAGTTTCACGCATACAGCGCGACCGCATTATATGCATCATCATCATTATCATCATCAAATATGGTACAATGTTTTTAGGAGGGAGCTGAGTACCTCGGCATGTTTTATCATTTACCTATATACAGACTTCTTGCATAAGAGGGATTGAACGATAGACATCGACCTTCCTTCAGGTTACAAACGAGTAGGTACATACACACGACGTTTTACGATTACGTTACGTCGTCTAGTCTATATAATAATAGTCTAGATGCGATTTGCCTGTCCATATCAATGATATATTCATGTTTTATTTTTTTTTCTTCGTCTTATCTCTTAAGATGCTACCAAGTACCTTAAAAGAGGGTTGCCATCGACGCACCTCCGCTTTCGACTCTGCCTCACCTATCTACTGAGATCTCCTGTTTCTCTAAAACGGTTCAATCTGAGCAAACGTTAATCTTGAAAATATTTGTACACACGATCGCGTCGTATGATATTTTTGTATATACATATACAAAGATCGATTCCACAGAGGAAGGAGCATTCGCAATTCTTTTCAGCACATACATGTATCATTTACGGATAGATTTCAACGTGACAACACGTGTTTAAAGTTACGCTCGGCTAAAATCTGTAGAACGGGAAACGTAAACGCGCGTGTTCGGTTGTGCAGTTTCAAAGTAAAGAAGAAAGCAGAGAAACGCCAAGGGCACTCTTCGAGAAGTACAATCAGATCACGGTGATCGCGTTATAAAATCGTCGATGATACCCCGTATTTCTTTTCACGTTCTCGTTTTAACGTATTCGTGTTCACCTCTGCACCTTCTGTTCTGGAAGCATTTAACATGGTATTTCTTCAGGATTCCGATTTTTTACAATTCGAAACGTTTTTGTTCCTCGTCTTTTTATTCTTCGTCTGGAACACGGTTTTTTATTAGCTCTATTTAACTGTGAATCATCCTTACGACCGATTCGAATGAGGTTCTCATACTGTCTCCGCATACAACTTGGATCGGTTTAATTTTTCTTTCGATTGCTTTCGCGTTAGGCAATCGGATCATGGAAATAATACGCTCCTTTGATTTATATTCCTATAGAAAACTAAAATATTGTTGAATATTAATGAAAAGTTCTACGAACAAAATATTATCGATTACCGTAAAAGAATATTGTAATTTGACACTGTTTGGGTAATGAATTAGCGCGAATGATGATTGCGTATTTTTTTAACCTTAAATGTAATGTACAGTGTCACAATGGTGGTATAATAGGGAGAGATTCTTCATTCAAAAATAAGTTTAAAGCGCAGGATAAAATTTATGTACTGTTTTTTAATTATAAAATCTAAAAATTTCGAAATTTAACAGTCTGGTAATTTGGGGGTTTTGAAATTTCGAATTTTATGAATTTTTCAGAAGTTGAAAATTTGGAAACTTATGAATCTCGGTATTTTGAATTTTGAAAATTCCGAAATTTAGAAATTTGGAAATTTGAAATTTGAAAAATTGAGAAATTAAAAGTTTTGAAATTTGGGCATTTGCAAATTTTGGAATTTGAGAATTGGCAAAATTAGAAATTTGAGAATTTGCAAATCTGGGAATTTAGAAACTTCAGAATTGAAAAATTTAATCATTTGAAAATTTGAGATTTGACAATTGCAAAATTTGAGAATCAAGAAATTTAATAATTTGACAATATGATATTTTGAAAATATAAAAATTTGAAATTTAAGAATTTTTAACTTCGATGATTTGTTAGTTTGGGAACTTAAAAATTTGTATACATGAAAATTATGAAATTCCCGATTTTTAGAATTTGAAAATTTAGAAAATTGGAAATACAGTAAATATTCGATATGTGCACAAATGATCTGTACGATATGTGCACCAAAGTTATCCCCACCACTGGGGGGAAGACCCCTTCAGACGCCGTGAAGCTCGATTGTCGAGAAATGTAACATGATCCGGGGTCGGGTATATCCGTGAAGCAATACATATACAAATATAAAACTTTTTTAATTTTGACTTTTTCGTTATCAAACTTTTACCAATTAATTCTTGACATTTTTCCGATTAAAATGAGACCAAACACGATATAATTTGTACTATTTTTACTGGTTTAATTGCCGATAAAAGTTTCTCACGTCGAAGAGGATAGCGAGTCAAAAAGAAAGAGACGCTACGATCGTGGCAGTCGGCAAAGATCAAAAGTCTGTTCGATTGTTTGCAATACTGGAGCATTGGTAATTTTTTTATTTTTCATCCATTTTTTTATATAACTTTTTCCATCATATTCGTGACGTTTTCCTGATTAAAATGAGACCAAACACGACGTAATTTGAGTTATATTTACTTGCAATATCTTATTAGAGTAAA